GGCGAGTGATGGATGCAGAATACTTAGGGGTGTCATGCATCGAAGTAGGAAGAAGGCAACAGCACCCCACTCCAGTACTCTCGCCTGGAAAATCCCATGGATGGAGGAGCCTGGTGGGCTATGGTCCATGGGGTCGCTAAGAGTCGGACATGACTGGGCGACTTCCCTTTCACTTTTCCCTTTCATGCATTGGAGAAGGAAATGGCAACCCACTCCAGTGTTCTTGCCTGGAGAACCCCAGGGACGGGGGAGCCTGGTGGGCTGCCTCTATGGGGTCACACAGAGTCGGACACGACTGAAGCGACTTAGCAGCAGCAGCAGCAGCATAGAAGTAAGCAGCGTGATTAAATTTGAAAGTTTTTTCTCTTCCACTATGCTCTATTCCACTAGGCACATACACTCAGGGATTGGGATTCTGCCCAAGGGCTGGGAATTCTATTCATACTTCTGGGCACAGAGCAAACCTTGAAAAACAAAACTTGGTGCCAAACGAAAGGCAATATTTAAAAACCATTTTTTCTATAGTGCTTATTCCAAATATAGAGAAGTAAGATGCATTTTATATGCTTCCAGGTTACCTTTCAGTTTACATCAGTGTACACCCCTACCAAGAGTATATAGCTTTGCTCTTCATCCACATTTTGTGGTACTGGAAATTACCAGTTTATTTTTTCCCAATATTATAGGCTAAAAATGAAATACTATTATTTTACTTTGCATTTCACTGATCACTAATGAAGTTGAGAATCTTTCTTTATATTTAGTGTCTATGAATTGTTTATTCATTTTTTCAGCCCAGTTAAAAATGTGGGTCTCTCTCTCAATAATTAATGAGAATTACTTACATATCAGTGATATTGGCCTTTGATTTATTCAAATGCAGTATTTTGCCTTTCAAAGTTATTTAAAGAAGTGTAATACATTTCTAAACATGATACACTCTTAATATTTTTCTCCTTTATGCCTTCTATATTTTATGTTGTGCTTTGACAAAGCGTCTTCCACACTAGGATTATGGTGTTCTCTTACATTTCTTTCTTGGGTAGTATTTATAATCATGCTTAAATCTGGACCTTCAATACATCTCAAATTTACTTTTGTGTGTTAGGTGAGGTATAGATCTAATTTCAGAGAACCCTTTTCCCCAAATGAATTTGCAGCCAGTGAACGCTCCTACCTTCCTGTGGTCAACACCAGCCCTGTGGAACCAGGCCTCAGATTCAAGTGTTTAACAAGGAGTGATAAAGGAAAATTCACTGCATTGTCTCAACACCTGTCTCTCTGAGTTGTAGAAGAGATGAAATAATATTGTTCTCATTTAATCCATTTAATTTAGAATCAGTCTGTGAGGTTTCATAGATCATAGTTTCCATGTTACCTAATTTAGTGCTCTTTGCATAAAAGTGATTATTTATTGACAAAAAAGACACTAGAGAGAGGAAAGTAGAGTATATCAACACTAATTATCCTTTCAAAATTAATCCAGTAGAGTAATATATACTCTATTCAACTATATTTAAGTGGAGTAAGAATCATGGGAGAGGAACCAGGTGAAATCTTGGTTTTTTTACCACTTTGACAAAATGTTTAGGAGCTTTAAAGAAAATATATGCAAACTATTCAGCCCAGTGTCTGCACATAGTAGGCCCTCATTACTTGAAAACAGTTTTATTATTTCCCGCGTTCAGGAGGAGCAGATGTCTTGTCATGGAATCAAGTTTTGACAAGGAGGTAGTTTCATGTGTAAGAGCCTATATACTCCAAAAAATTTGAATTTTAAAGCTTTCAAATTGTTAATGTGACAGACAACTAAAAAAAAAAAATTTTGAAGTCCATTATTCACTGACATTGCTCTCTTCCTAAAACTAGACATAAGAATCTTACAAAAAATAATGGGCATTAATGGGTGTTATTCAAATGATATGTTTTCTCAATCATAGCCTGTGTCTGCTGCTAAGTCGCTTCAGTCATGTCCGACTCTCTGCGGCCCCATAGACGGCAGCCCACCAGGCTCTCCCGTCCCTGGGATTCTCCAGGCAGGAACACTGGAGTAGGTTGCCATTTCCTTCTACCTTCTTAATTAGGAAAAAAACAGGGACCCAAACTAATTTTTTTAAGATGCTATGGCTTTAAGTATCATGTTAGAATAAATCAATAGAATAAATTTGAAGTGGCTGAAATAACCACCTTTGACTTTGTGGGCATTTAAATTTTCGGACTTGGGGAAATCACTGATGCGGCACTTTCAGGGGATTTGATTTTATAGGCTTCTCATCCTGAGAGTTTTTAAAAATACAAAAAGTGATGTGGCCTTAGAGATAAGACAGATGTCAGGCTGTCACTGTGAAGCTGCTTGGCTTTTAAATGGCCTGTTCCCAAGTTTGAATCTGTAATCTAGTGATAGAAAAGCTTCGGATTTGTTGGCAAAGATGAAAGATGCTCAGAAGCTATTACCTTAAAATAGGAATTGATAGATAAATAGGCTAGGGAAGTCAAGATTCTGACTTGAATCTTGAAGTGGAGAATTGAATTGAGATAATTATCTGTTAACTTGAGGCAAAATTAAAGTTCACCTTTAAAAGAGTCAGATCATTAATGCCAATGTGTAGATTCTCATTTACTTGCATGATAAGCAGTAAAAAGATGTTACTAAAATTGTCTGGATTTATTTAAAATATTATAATTTGCATGCAGAGAAGTCTCAAAGACTTGAAAAATTAGGGAGAAAAAGTGCCCCCAAATATGATTATTTAAAAAGAAACCCTTTCTTTCTTTGTGTTTCTTAGGTAGAATAAGAAACTTACATTTGCCTCTGGTATTGTGGTCCAAGAAACATGAAAGAAAAAGACAGACACTAATAGAGATCATCTCCAATTAAATATCTTTATAATAAATAGAGGCAGGCTGTAATTGAAGAATATTCTAGATTAGAACAAAAGCAGAGACCAAACAAATATATGAAATGCTATGACTTTGAATAGCCTAAATCCAAATAAGTCAACACAGAGAAGCATCATCTCAGGGAACTAACACAAATCTATCTATGATCAATATGAAAATTCCTACCTTTAACGTTTCAAAGAGAATTGCTAAATAACGGCTAATGACTGCTCTCAGCGAAGGAACTGTATGTTCCAGTGGGAGCTTAATCCCATAATTAGTATCTGGGTCACTGTCACTGCCTTAACTAGGCTGACTCAGACAAGTGATAGTCCATCAGTGCACCAAAGGGCAGTGTGAGGAAGTAATCATAGCCCCACTTAGGAAATACCCCAGGGTTAGCCGAGAAGCTTTACTCCCTCGAAGAGTACCCAGCGAAGGGTCTTCTGTCTCAGCAGCTCAGAAGAACGCGGAGTGAAGCTGGAGGGAGGCAAGGAAGGAGTGGGCTAAGCAGTAATGACTCACCCGGCTCAGTCAGTCTTCTCTTGAGAAGCATGAGGCTTCTAAAGTGCCTTATTTTCAAATCAGATTTAAATCGTCTAAGTAAGCGGAGAAACACAGACATGAAGTCAAGCAATTAAAATAAAAACTCATGATCTAGGTTTCACTGTCCATTTATTTTAGGACAAATTATAAGGAAGGAAGAAGCAACATTTGAAAAGTAGTCTCATGTGTCGCCTCACATTAAGAGAGCAGATACAGTCTTTGAAAGTGATGTTCTTACACCAGTCTGAGCTATAAGTACAATCTGGTGTATACAAGTACTTATAGTTTGTACTGTAAGTACTGTATAGCACACCAGTATGCACTATAAAGAAGCATATAATAACTGGGATATGTCTAGGATATTTTCTAACTTCAGAAATTAAAATTTCAAAAAATTTCACTTGGAAGTGAAAACAATTGCATGTATCATGATCTTAACAAATTACAGAGACTTGGGACTGGGTCACATTACATTGTTCTCATGCATAGCTGTATAGTTATTCTTGGATTGCTTAATTACTCTACTCTCTGGAATATTTACATAAATTCCTTTATAACCAAAATGTTCCAAAATACAATTTCCTGATTTTTGGTTTCTTTCTCTACAGTTAAATATATAAATACATTGTTCATGTAATCATTTACTCACAAATGTTACTGAGTGCCTGTTTGGAATCCAGTGGGATGCTAAGTGTAGCGACAGGGGCAGGGAAGGGCTAGGGTAAGCCCAGTCTGTGGACTCATGGAGATACAAGCTAGCAATGAGACAGATGTTACAAAAACAACCACAGGGATGAACAATAAATTACAGACTGAAGCAGCTGTTATAAAGGAAAACCCCTCGATTCAACAGAAACTTGAGAAAATGTCTCAGCACAGGAATTCCGTTATAAACTGAGTGAATAGTCATCTATTAGTTTCAAGCACAAGGGTGATTCTCTATATGGAGAAAGGTCCTGAGAACAAGAGGAAATTGTAACAAATCTTAGAATTCATTGCAGGAAAGAGAGGCACAGGGTAAAAACAAAGATTCCCCTACCTCTGCACCAAATTAAAAAAACTTTACATTGTGTGCATTGGTAGGCAGTGAGGGCAAAATTAAAAATCACCCGAAAGAAGAAAATACGAACAATATGCTCAAAGATATTTCCTTTCATCTAGTAGTCACGTTGCCTCTTAAAGGATCAGAATTCAGTACCAGTTGGGTATTTTTTTATAACTTTTTATTTTGTATTGGGGTACAGCCAATTAATAATGTTGTGATAGTTTCAGGTGAACAAGGAAGAGACTCAGTCACATGTATACATGTATCTATTTTTCCCCAAACTCCCCTCCCATCCAGGCTGCCAGATAAGATTGAGCAAAGTTCCAGTGCTGTACAGTAGGACCGTATTGGTTATCCATTTTAAATACAGCAGTGAATACAGGCTGGGTTTTGCTTTTTGTTGTTTTTGCTCTTAATGCAAGTGGATTAAAACTTTCAAGTGCACATGAGATTGATGATAGACAACTTATTTTCAGATGTTTTCTAATTTTGTTAAGGGTCTTCATGGTCCATCTTTGTTCTCTTCCAGGGGATTATGTGGTCATGACTGTCTATTTTGACCTGAGCAGAAGAATGGGCTACTTCACCATCCAGACCTACATCCCCTGCACACTCATTGTTGTCCTATCCTGGGTATCTTTCTGGATCAATAAGGATGCCGTTCCAGCCAGAACTTCTTTAGGTGAGAGACAGTTCTTATGTTGTACTGTCCCAAGGTAAGTACTGAACAACACTCATCTTTATTCCCCCTTCTAAGTTGATTTGCTTTTAATTAAGTTAGTAATTACATAGAAATGCCATTTATTTAAAACTAGCACATTTGCTAAATTCTCTCCTTGCTTTCAAAATGTTAGTTGCTCAGTCATGTCCAACTCTTTGTGACCCCATGGACTGTAACCTGCCAGGCTCCTCTGTTTACGGGTTTCTCCAGGTAAGAATGCTGGAGTGGCTTGCCATTCCCTTTTCCAGGGGATCTTCACTACTAGACCTCAAGGTCTAGTAAGCTTTTAAATAAATTAACTGGGGATAAAAATATTTTTAAAAACTTCTTTTTAGGAGATTTTTTGTTTGTTTTGGTCTCTGGGCAGTTGTATACCCATTAGAATTGGTTGTATTTATCCTTTCCCAACACTGTGTTCAGTGATGCCAGTTTGGTAGCTTGAAATCAACCAAGGTACAAATATTAACACATGGAAATAGATAAACACAAAAAATAAGGGGCACCTTTTTCCTAGGGAATCAATTGTTACACATGTACTAGCACACCACTCGCTACTGATTAATTTCAACATGCATAATTATAGTGATGACATTTGAAGGCATACACATACATAACTGGCTCTTTACAGAAGAGCTGTTGAAAAGACTATTTCGGAGAAAATAAAATTACCTATGAAGGATTATTTGCAATTTGCTCAATCTCTTGTCGGTGATACCTGTCTTGGAGTTTCACATCGTTTTCCTCACATAAGGAATAGAATTCAAAGATTATTACAGAGCCACAGACTCACAGGAACACTGGAGGCTAGGTCCATGAATAGAATTCTCATGCTACATAATATTTCCTAAAGACTTAACTAAAACTATTGAAAAATGAATTATGAGGCTGCTATCCTCTTTCATCATCTGTGTGACAACTAGGACCACATTTTCTGTCTACTCTTTGGCTAGAGGCAGTATCATGTAATAGTTAAGAGCTTGGATTTTGAAGTCCAACAGATGGATTTCAACCCTCATACACAGTATGGCCTTAGATACATCCTTTAGTCTTTACAAACCACATTTTACTCACATGTGAAGTATCATTTCCTGTATCTAATTGTTGGGGTTTGTATTAGGTTAAATAAGGTACTCCATGAAAAGAGCACAAAACATAGTAGGGCCTCAGAAATACTAGCAATTATAGTCATTTTCTGGCAAAGTGATCTGCACCAGGTTATTAAAACTGAGAGCAGCAATGATTACTGGGAAAAAAAAGACATCATTTGCATATTTGTTCTTCTCCAAACCAAATTTAGTCTCCCATCTGTTTCAAAATAAGGTTATTTTGATTTTTTCTGTTATAGGCAGTACTTTATGTTACAGGCTGTATTTAACAATTATAATATCTTGTCTAATGCTACATGCTAAGACAAACCCAAAATATGTTGCTACTCTTTAGGACGATTACTTGTCATCGTGAGTAGAATGCACCACATTACTTGCTTTCTGTGTCTGTCACAGCAGGGTATCAATGTTGTCTTCACTCCCAGGACAGTGCCTGATCCACGGCAGGTACCTCTGTGATACTCAAGTAATGTATGCATTTATGAGTGGTGGAACAAGCACTCTGATGCATTCCAATCTACCTATCCCAAAAGTATCTTAAGGGAAAGATTTCAAATCAATCTCTTCTCTTGAAGTCTAGATTCCTGCTGGTTAAAAACTCTCCTAAGTCTTTAGTACTAGCTCATTTCCAACCACTTGTTCAGTGAGTGCTCACCGGCAAAAGACCATAGCGGGAGAAGGAAGGAAGGTGAGTAGGCTGAGGAAGGAGGGGCAGAGCCAAGAGCAGGTAGGTGCTCCTCTTATCATAGCCAGTCATCCTCACTGTGGTCCTCATGCTTTTCCTACTCTTTAGAATAACTGCATGTAGAAGTTGTAATGGAAATAAAGGTTATTATCACATTTTTAGGCTAAGGAAGCAGAGGTGCCATAAGGTTAAATGGCATTCACAAGGCCACTGCCAGCAGACAGTAGATGTGTGCCGTGGCTGATGAGACCTAGGTTGGCTCTGGGTGTGAGGCCCTGTTGAAGGGCCACTTGTGGGAGAAGGTGGGGCGGTGAGCTAAGCCAGTTTCTCCACTTTAGCTTTGCAGTCTCAGGTCTCTAGATCACTGCTTCTTAAGTTCAGCTGTGTATTTAAATCAATAGAGGGCCTTCAGAAGTACAACTGCCTTTGTCCAACCCCAGGATATGCTTAATTTAATTTCTTGAAAGCACATGGTAGGGTGGGGGTGGGGTGGAATTTAGGATTAAAAAAATTTAGGATTAAAAAAAAAAATTCCTCAGGTCATTCTAAGGTGTGATCAGGTTTGGGGGTTTAGGAACACTGACCTAGATCATTGAGTCCAATTACCTTTTCCAATGTTTACAATCAAGAGTTGAACCAGATGACCATCAATGCCTGTGAACTTAAAAAAGTTTATTGCCACAAAACAGAGAGCCACTGTGTTTGATGAGTGAGATAAATATATCCACGTGGCTAAGAGAGTGACTGCTTTCTAAGTGCAGATCACAACATTCGAGGTCATTTTGTAGGTTATAACACTTGAGTATAGTTTAGTACACAGGTGGTAGCTGGTAAGGTTTAATCATGGTATAAGGATGATGGATTAAACAAGGAAAATACCTCTTGGCATTTTTCACCCAAGTTATATGAGGTAAGCAACATGCCTAAAGAGCTTACTTCATTCCAAGACTGAAGGATATTTTTCATCTATCTCAAGTAAAAGAAGTCTAGTTTCTTTGCTTAGCAAAACTGGACTTAAAAACCACATCAAACAAAACACATTAAGCTCTCTTGTTGCTGGTAAATCAGTTAGAATTGCTACTTGTCTGTTCTTCACTGTTCTCTGTGGCTCCAAGCAGACCTAGAAATATCTTGAAGGAACTTTTCAAGATTCTTCTTTTACATGCCTGTGATGAACTTCCATTTAGCCTAATACCAGACGTGCCAAATTTTCTTAAGTGAACTTATCCATGATATCTGCTATGAATACTGACATTTTCACTTCTCATAGGTCATTTGTAGTTTGAGGCCTGAGTGAAGTGAAGACCAAAAGTGCCAATTAATTTTTGAAATTATCCCACAAAAATATCAGCTGTGATTAGATATAATCAAGAACTTCTATGTGAATTAATACATAACCTAAGTGAAGCTTTTTTACTTTGAGAAGCAGATCTTTCTTCTCTAAAGTAAATGATAACAACACCTTATATTTATTGAGACTTTACTAGGAATTGTCACTCTATGTTCATGATTTAATTTAATCTTCATGAACACCTTATGCAGTCACTACCATCCCCAGTTTGTACTTGAGAAGCTATACCACTCTTATGTTTCCATCATGACAACATGTAAGATTCACAGATCCACATCATATCCCAAATTAGGGATTTGGGATAGCTAAATCCCTAATAGCTCCTAAGAATGTGGTACTTCATCCTGCACATTATGGACCTATTTGTAGAGAGGAAATACAACAATATGGTTTAGAGCATTGCATTTAAAGTCAGACTTGCTGGGCTTGTAGGTTCTATCTCTTAACTGGTTTACTCTTTATGTGCTCAGTTTTGTTTTTGTTTTTCACTTGCAAAAAGAAGGATAACAGTGCTTATTACCTAATTTTGAGGGTTTTCTGGGATTATTATATATATGCTTGACATAGTACCTGGTCAAACGAAGAGATTCTTAAATGTTAGCTACTGTTATGTACAACTAAAATGATCCTCCCAAATCATCAATATGGATTCCTATTTTCATATGTAGGTTGAGTCTGTTTGATCTTTCATGTATTTCACTATTCTTCAATTGTTTTATTTATTCAACAGATATTGAGTCCTAGCTCTGTATTCACTATGGGGTTACAATGGACATCAAGATCCATGTTTTGTCTGTTGTCACAAAGTATGTAGACTAGACAGAGAGATGCATTACTCCATAATCGCTAATGATGGAACACGAGAGAGGCCTCAGTCTTTATGACTACAGTTTCCTTGTGGAGGGCCTCTATTAAAGGCTACTTCTTTCTGTGAAGTTCTTTTAACCAACAATGACCCTTCCCTTCTCTAGAATTTCATGAAAGAAAGTGAAAGTGAAGTCGCTCAGTCGGTTCCGACTCTTTGCGACCCCATGAACTGTAGCCTACCAGGCTCCTCCGTATATGGGATTTTCCAAGCAAGAATACTGGAATGGGTTGCCATTTCCTTCTCCAGGAGATCTTCCCAACCTGGGGATTGAACCCGGGTCCTCCCGCATTGTAGGCAGACGCTTTGCCGTCTGAGCCACCAGGGACACACAGTGTATCAGAGAAACCTGATACTAAGCTAAGTGTTTGCAGAAACATACCTAAACTCTTCAAAATGGCTCTGAAGAAAACCTGAGCAATTAGGAAGAGAAAAGTCAATGTCCTTCTTTGCTTAACCTTTCTTCAAGAGTGGCTGGCTCCCCTTAACCATCTTTGGAGCATTCTGTACCCATGTTGTAAAGAGAGAAGAAAATCCTATTTCTCTTTTCCTGTATGGTGATACTGTTCTTAATCTCTGTAGCTTCCTTCTCCTGCTCCTCAAATTTCTTGTGTCTGATTCCTTCTGAGTTTCCGAGCACTGCTGTTTGAGGCAGACACATTGACTCTCTCCTAGAAGTATCTTGGTCCAAGTAATAGAATTAACACACAGCATTAGATATCAGAAACTTCCCCTCTCCCCTGCCTCCAACAAAAATGTTACGTCACAAGGATATAGAGGGTAAAGGCTTGGAAAGACCATTTTTGGAGTACAGAAAAGTTGCATCCAGTCATGATAAGAAATGTTGAATTAAAATCATAGCATGATAAGAAATGGATGGGTCTTCAAAAAGATAGTCAAACAGATGCAGAAACTGAAACCTAGAATACTGAAGTGAATTGAGTTACTATAACTGGAGCTAGAACCTATTCAGATACTGAATCCATGTTGCCTTTGTTATAAATAACACAGCTGTGAATACATATAGGTTGTCTTAACTTTGTTGTTAAATAATTATTGGGGAAAACTATTTTTCTTGGGCACTGTTGTACAATGGGAAAAAGGAGTGTTTTGAAATCGGACATTTAACTTCTGTGCTCACATCTTTCTCCTACTTTACTGTCTGACACAGAGCTTGTCTTTTGGCTTCCTTTTCCTCAACTATAAAATCAAAATGAAAATATCTGCTGTAAAGATTCAAAGAGAGAATGCACATGAAATACTTATCATAGTGCCTGGCACAAGGACATTTTCAGTAAATATTAGTTATATCACTTCTGAAATGCCTATTTTTATCATATAATAGTCTCTAAAGAATTTATACATCAAAACATGTCAGTCACACATGAAGTACCTCCTCTATTTAATACCTTTAGAGGGCTTCTCCTTACACTTTGAATAGAATGCAAACTCCAGGGCAGGCTCTGCATAACTTAACTAGGTAAGTTCTATTTACCTAGCATCACTGTGACTTGGCCACCCATCCCAGGTATTCTAAAAATTCAAAAGCAGATCAGGTTTCACTTCCTCAAAACCTCTCTTTAATTAATTCAGTCAGTTCAGCCCAGTCGCTCAGCTGTGTCCAGCTCTTTGCTACTTTAGTGTTAATAGGCAGAAGGTTGGTTTCTTCTAATTTTCTAAGCTTCACCTTAAATATCACCTCCTCAAACAGGCCTTCCACCTAGGTTCTCACTGCCCCTGTCTCTGTGCACGGTGCATACCATAATCTGTCACTGTACTTCTCTCTGCTTCCTTGATTCATGGTGGGGTGTCTCTCACTGAAATACATATGGGCATACATAAGGGGACATATGGGCAGAGACCTTGTCTATTTTATTTCTCAGCACAAAGTCAGCACATTCGTAGCACATTTCTCAGCACATATGGTAGATGACACATGGTAGGCAGGAGGTACATGTCTGTGAACAGGGGGAGTGAATTCCAGTCAAGTCTCCTTTCCCAGAACTGAGGCCACTCCTCAGCAGCACAAAACACATTTGGTCTCGCCAGTGAGACAGTGATCCAGTGCGCCGATGTGGTCACGGGGTCTGTTTCATCCTGCCTCCCCAGGAATCACCACCGTCCTCACAATGACCACCCTCAGCACCATTGCCCGGAAGTCTCTCCCCAAGGTCTCCTACGTCACAGCGATGGACCTCTTCGTGTCTGTCTGCTTCATCTTTGTCTTCTCTGCTTTGGTGGAGTATGGCACTCTGCATTATTTCGTCAGCAACCGGAAACCAAGCAAGGACAAAGACAAAAAGAAGAAAAACCCTGTATGTATCATTTCTCATTGGGCCCTTTGACATTTTTATGCAGAAAGATCATCTGGTTTTGTTTCGGTTTGGCCTTGCTCGGTCTATCTGTGGGTTATCCACACTCTGGGCCCCAAGGTGAAGATAGCATCTGTGAGTTTGGCCAGGCTACCAGGATTCATTAGTAACTCAGGAGAGACCTGATTCACTGAGGCAGACTGTAGCTCTCTTCATTTCACTGGGAGAATAACCATGACAGGAAACTGCATTCATCTTTTAGTAGCTGTTATTTTAGGTTTCACTGACTTTCAGCTGTCTGAATCTTAACTAAAATATTTTAAAATTACTGATGTTTTAAGTCCTTCATCCAGTGCTTTCCAATAGGAAGCCATAGGTTCTTAGTTTCAGGGATCACCATACTTTTGCAAATCATTTAGAGTGTGTGTGTGTGTGTGTGTGTGTGTGCATTGCCAGAGGACTTCTGTTGGTTTTATACTCAAAATATATATTTAGCCTTCCTGTGTTATCATGTTCTCATATATAAATGAGTATTATTTTATATATATCTTATGAAGCTGCTGTGAGAAATAAATGTGGTAATGGATGTAAAAGACATTAAATAGTACCTGGCATTTATAATTGATGATGATGGCTGATGTTGATGATTTATATAGTTACCAACCTGGATTGAGTTCAGTGATTTGGAAACAGGTAAGATGATTTCACCTTGCCACCAAACTTTAAACAGAGTTGAAGAAGCACATTTATAAAAGCCTAAAGTAACTTTTTTCTATTATGGATGCTGAAAAGAGCATGTAGCTACCCATTTGACCACTTAAATCCACTGTTTGGTTCACAGGAGGCCTGATGAAAGTTAAGGTCCATTTCTTTCCAAAAATGGGGCAAAGGAACTCACCCACCCTCCTGTATTTACAGCCTTTCCTGGTCTTCTGCTCTAAGGGCTGAGGGCCATGCCAGTGGCTAGCTTTCTGACCCATGGGCTTTGGGGAGCTGAATTATAACCACTGATTCTAGCCTGAATCCTGATGCATCTTCAGAAACCCAGGTGAAATTTGACAAATGGCACATGTTATTTGACTGTAAAACATTATAACAGGTAAAGAAAGATGCATCATTATTCTCAATGATTATGCAAAATAAATGCTTATCTTCAATTTCCCAAATAGTCACTACACTTTATGCAGCCCCTTCTTTTTCTGTATGGCCTCTTTTTCCCTTTGCATCTTTTCTATCCTTAGTTTATTTTCCTTGTTGTGTTGTTTTTTGTTCCCTCCCCTTTCTTCACTTGCCATTTCATTTTCCCCCCAAAAGATGATTCTGTCGCCATGCAGCATTATTACCTGCCAGTAGTAACAAGGGAGTGAGGACTGACAGTGGACAAAAGCCCTTTGGCCCTTTCTATTGCAGAGTGGATTTTGTTGCAGAGATAGAAACACTTGGATTCCTTAGACCAGGATCCTGGTCCTGAGGATGGCAGAAAGAGAAAACGTGACAGAGGAGAAAGGGAATTGGAAGAAACTACAAAGATGAAATTACCCAAGAACTCTATGCATATTTCCCTTTTAAGCCAATTAGATGATTTATCAGAACTAGCTAGAGTCTAAGTTGTGACTGAGAAGCTAAAATTTCACTTTCCCATTTAATATGTTCTTGGGCTCATTATGTCAAGACTCTCCTAGTTAAGGCCTCCTTAATGGTAATCAGAAAATAAAACCAGCAGTTCTATACAGGGGAAATAGGCAGCAAAGCTTCCTTACAAGTGGGCAGGACTGAGTTTTGCAGTTAGATCATTGTAGATTAATTTATCAAAAATTTCACTAGGAATCGCCAAAATTTCATTTTCCAGCTTTAGGCATATACTTTATCCCAAGCTCAAAACTGTCCTTCTGTGTTTATAATTTCAGTTCATTTCACTTGCTATGTTTTCAAAATGTATTTTTAATTTATCTTATTTTGTCTCTTTTTTTTTTTTCCCCTTTTTTCCTTCTTTTAATTAAAAAAAAAATGCGATTCTCTTTTCTGTCTACAAACCCAAAGCTTCTTCGGATGTTTTCCTTCAAGGTATAATGTTTTTGGAATGGAAATTCACTGCATGCAACTGCTGGATTTAACTATTAATGCTTACATGGTGTTTTATTTATTTTTTATAAATAGACATTTAAGCATTCTATTAGAGATAACACATTTAAGATGGAGAAAGTTCTTTAGAATTTTAGAGTTCATTCAGAAACCCTACATTAATTCAGAGGTTTTGACCTAATATGAGATTAAAAATCTCTAAGCTCTATGAGCTGTCATTACTGAAATGGGCCTCATTAAATATCAAAGCCAAGACTTACCCTCCTTTGCAGATAAAAATGGAATCCAGTTTCACTGGTTGTACCTACCAAGTTCCATTTATTTCCTAAAATTTAATTCTGTAAGTCCTAATTCAAAAAAGGATTGTTTTTCAATAACTACATATAATAATTTCCATTGGCCTGAACTCTACCTGTTGGTTCTATAAAAATGATGCTGTCTTTGAAATGTTTTAAATTAAAACACCCATCCCTTCCTTCCAGGGTTATTCAGGGGCCTTTTGGCTCTATCATACAATATTCAATGAGATTTCTATTCTCAGCTGAACTTTCTGATAGCTGATTCAAAGACAATAGGGTTTGTATTTATATCATTCCTAAAACTAACTTACCAAATTAACATTAAATAAATTGAGTTTTCTAGCAATTTTTTAATTGGTACAGTAGCAAAGATTATCATTTAATTAATTGGTACTAATTTCTTCTCAAATCTTTAAGAGAGTTTGACAGCTAGTAACATTTAAAAAATTTCACTCACATGTAGTTTAATATTGCTGACATTCTGAAGCTTCTAAAGGGTGATGTTTGGCAAACTACATTACTTTAAAGTATAAGCCATACCATTGTGATATAAACTCAGGAAGCTTCTGTATTTATATATAGCTTAACATTTTCTGTTAAAAGCATTTAACACATTTGCTCAGTGTAATGGGGTTTACTATTTGCCTATATAGATAAGCATGTACACAAAATTTGATTTCACAGTTGACTCATTTTTATTTCTCTGTCCTACTCACACGCAACACCATTAAATGCCTTCATGTAACCAACCTCACATCTAATATTTACTAGAATAAGATTCCATGTAGTTGTTTGATTTAAATCTTCAAACTTTGAGTTCTTTTGGTGTTCAATCTTCTTGCTATAGCTATTAGCTTGGTGGTATTATTTTCAGCCGCACTGCTTAAGCTCAGCATTTGAAATCTGCAACTGCTATCCTTCTGAGTCCAATCTCACCATTGTAGATCATGATGTCATAGCAGTTCCCTGAGTACTCATTTTCAGATTCATCATTCGCACACTGGGGACATTGTGGAGACACGGTCTGGGATTTATCAGGTAAAACTAACTCTGATCCCTCTCCTTCCCTACTCCATCTTAGGCCCCTACCATTGACATCCGCCCACGGTCAGCAACCATTCAAATGAACAATGCCACACACCTTCAAGAGAGAGATGAAGAATACGGGTATGAGTGTCTGGATGGCAAGGACTGTGCCAGTTTTTTCTGCTGTTTTGAAGATTGCCGAACAGGAGCTTGGAGACACGGGAGGATACATATCCGTATTGCCAAGATGGACTCCTATGCGCGGATCTTCTTCCCCACTGCCTTCTGCTTGTTCAATCTGGTTTATTGGGTCTCCTACCTTTACCTGTGAAGAGGTATGGGTGTTACTGATGTGGGTCTTACTCACTAAATCTCACGAAGAGAAGATGTCCTTTCTGAGTCTACTTACATGATCCCCTGTGTAGTTTACCATACTTTGAATTTGTTTCTGTGTTTTGAAATTGTATTCATGTCATATTGTTTGCACCCAACTCTCCTATGGTAAGTGTAATTTGAAGTATAATGTTTGCCATGTCTCAAAACCTGCAAGGCAAAGTGAAATTAGAGCAAGAAAATTGAAACAAAACAAGTTTTTCTTTCAGCTACAACAATTGCAATCATGAAAGCCATTATTATTTACAATGGTGGTATCCTTCCTGAATTCAAAATACAACTAGATGCAAAAGACCCAAAAGTGTACCCTCTGTTCTGGGATCAAGTTGTGGTAAATTTGATCCCTAAAAGATATCTCCCTAATTTGAGAAAAATCACAACCTGCTTTAAATATAGGAACCTAGACTAGAAATCTATTATATCTCCATTCCAAGATATGAAGGAAACTTCCTCCACATCACATGTACAATGATGTAAATATTTCAGTAACATAGAATGCTTCAAGTTTAATGCATGCATCTCTCTAGAGCTGAAACAAGTGGACTGAAGTTAACATCATATTGTCTTTTATTCTGTGTCTTTGGGCTCTAAATGATTCATGAATGTAATTATATGGGTTTGGATTTGGAACAGGAGAGAGGAATCTTCTCCCTCGCATGAAGATTCAAACATCTTGTTTTTTGTGGTTTTTTTTTTTCTTGTAAGACGTATTACAACACTAAGTAAAATACAGAATGGATAATTGACATTTGCCACCTTGAAATATGCCCAATTTCATAGAGTATAAAGTAAATAAATGTACGTGCTTGCTACTTTTTCTTCTTTTTAGGATAATAGGTCATCACAGAACTTACGCTCAAGATCTGCTTCTAGTGACTGTGAGTGCCTTGTGGGCAGAATCCTTGTAATTTCTTCTTTGGGTTCTTAGCACCGTGTGGAGTGCTTGGCACACAGCTGGTGCCAGTAAGTGTGGTTTGAAGTGAACTGGCTTTAGATGCCTCTGGTAAAGCTTTCTGAACTGGTCTGGAACCAGTGATTCATCTTTTCATACAGGCATTACCCAGTGCTATTTGATCTTGTAGAAGTAAACAGAAGGATCCAAAGAACTTTGACTATTTTTGTTCATTATTACACATTTTCTGTAGGCAAAGACCATATTCCTTTTAGAACAATATTTACGTCCTGTGTTTCTGTACAGAAATGAGTCTACTAGGGCATAATTAGAATCTGTGTAGTATGGTTCCAGGTCTGGGGGTGAGTCAGTCCTGACCCATCCACTTTTTCACTGAGGACATAAGACAGGCACAGCAGGAGTCATACCTGACTGGTGTTCAAATGTAGTATTTTTTGCTCTGTGGAAAGCAACATGTACTGAAGTTTACACTTACAAAATTAAAGAAACCTGAAAGACTTACAAGGAGGTCAAGCCTATGACTGTGTCCTCATGTGACCATCCTGCACTCACATGAAGTGGCTATCCCAGGCTTCACACTTGATGAGGTGAGCTCCATTTTCATGTATCCATCCTGAATTCCTGTTTTTCTAAAATAGCATCCTTCATTAGTTCTGCCTTTTGGCAATCATTTCTTTAAGTCAGAATTCAATCATAGCTACAGATAATCTACAAAGAGTAGAAAAGAAGAGAAAGTATTATTGTTAATAGAAAACCATGTAAAGTCATCATCAGGTCATCTGGATGAATCTTGAAATACATATAGCTGCCAAATTTACAAACCTTTACTGTATCAGTGCTGTAGTATATAACCTCAAACAGGTGTAAATAGAATTATTTTCTTGTTTTGAATTGTTAACATATTAAATGTTGACTCTGGGAGAGTTGTTGGCAAATTTTCGATGACAAGAAACATGTTATTGTCAACTTGAAATGTATTCCATTAACAGGGACATTCAAGAAAAAAAGCTAGCTTTCCAATGTGTGCATAGTACTGGCAACATAAATATATATTATATATAATCTAATTCTTAATTATCAGCTGCTCCCAGTCTATGTATATGAAAACCTTTTCACAAAGGGAACTGCCTAATATGTGGACTTTTACAATAAAAATGCTGCATTCTAAGCCATGGCATCAGGTCAGTGGTTGGTTGGACTTGTTTTGTCTTAACAGAGACAAACTTCACTTTCTGTTTGTCTCTTCTCTGATCCCTCTTCTCTGTCTCACTCCCCAACAATGCCTTCCCTTTATGTAAATTTTAGTTGTGAGCAGTGTGATCATGTTTTGCATTATACTCACTTCAAAGAAATTAAGAGATGATTTTTGGAGTGTGGAGTAGAGACATAAAGAAATGGCATGTGGCACATATACACCATGGAATATTACTCAGCCATTAAAAAGGATTCATTTTAATCAGTTCTAATGAGATGGATGAAACTGGAGCCCATTATACAGAGTGAAGTAAGCCAGAAAGATAAAGACCAATACAGTATATTAACACATATATATGGAATTTAGAAAGATGGTAATGATAACCCTATATGCAAAACAGAAAAAGAGACACAGATGTATAGAACAGACTTTTGGACTCTGTGGGAGAAGGCGAGGGTGGGATGTTTCGAGAGAACAGCATCGAAACATGTATATTATCTAGGGTGAAACAGATCACCAGACCAGGTTGGATGCATGAGACAAGTGCTCGGGCCTGGTGCACTGGGAAGACCCAGAGGGATCGGGTAGAGAGGGAGGTGGGAGGGGGGAACGGGATGGGGAATACATGTAAATCCATGGCTGATTCATGTCAATGAATGACAAAAACCACTGCAATATTGTAAAGTAATTAGCCTCCAACTAATAAAAATAAATGGAAAAAAAAGAAATAAAAAAGAAATGGCATGAAGGAGTAGCTCAAGACTTCTGTGCCTAAAACTTGGGTGAGGCTAACAATATGGACATTGGTGTCAGCCATCACTGGGCTCCCAACTCTACCAGAGACAAGCTGTTTCACAATTGTCAGGTCAGCCTTTATAAGCCTCCATTTTACCAGCTATGAATTAGGTGTAATGAGGCCACCCCATGTGGTGACACCAATGCTCTGCTGCTGGGCTGCTCCCACTCCCGTCAAATCAGCTAACAGCATCTGGCACTATTCAAATATGTCTTAATCAGGGCCCTGTAGCATGATGTTTCATTTTGAAAGAGTAACTGAACTGCAAACCTTTCTTTATACTACAGGCTGACAATCCAAGTCTTTATTGAAAAATCTCACAGATTATTTTCAAGGCCAAAGAGCCCATCTCTGTAACCACCCCCTCAAATGAAAAATATAGGAAGCCATGCTCCAAAGACGGTATCGGTATCATATTTTTGTTTTAAGTCCTCTGAATTCCTCAGAACACTTAGCAAAATCCTTTACAAACCCAGCTACCCTAACCTTCCTCTTGCTATCGTTCTCTTGTCCCCTCATGTCTTCCTGCATCCAATTTAAACATCTATTTCTCACCTTCCAGACACATAAAAAAAATTAGTTTTCACTTCAGTCTTGTTTCCCGTCTAACTCAATGCCTTTATTTTTAGCTTCCATCCCCTTTTTAAAGTCTCAGTATTATTCTAACTAGTAGCAATGCCTTTTGTATCTAACAAAGGTCAAATTACATTTAGCCAAATGATGTGGTCACTGGGGATTATGTCAAAAATTGCTATCTCTATGCCTTGTCACTATGGATTTTTGTTTAACATGTAGAAGAGAGAATGACCTACACCGATAGCTCTGCTATATAATTTTAATGCTCACTGAGTTGCCAAAGGTCACACAGCCAGTTAATGGCAAACGTAGGACAGCCACCCAAGCATTCCTTTCTACTGACCCTCAGTATTTTAGGATTGGAAGTCAAATCTGGAACACATTATTTTCCTCTTCATGCTTTAAGATCTGCCGAATTTGAAGATGTCTTCTTTCTTTGATCTTGACTTCATTTTAATTGCAATGAGACAACTTTCAAAATATGTAGCAACAGAGTTAAGTTGATGGATTTTACATTTATTTTCTTCTATTCCTAGTCACTTTCCAGTGTTATTCACTGCTTTCAGAACTCTGCTTGAAAGAAGGGATCTCCAAGAATCTGAAAAGTTCTAGACCCAGACAGAGTTGCCCTTTTTTTCCTCTGGGCATGGAAGAACAGAAAACCAGAGTTTCTTGTATCTTGTCTCTACCGGCCCATTCTTTCCACTGTATCAGAAAAGTGGTAGGAGTACTCTCTTACTATTTGGTCTGAGGTTAGATACCAATTACAAAATCCTGTTGTGATTTTATTTTTCTCTATTTGGGATTTTGTTTTTAAGTTTTCCCTTATTATTGTTTTTGAAACAAGATGGAAAAGCAGACACTCTTACTCCAGATTACACAGGTTCAAATCCTGGGCCTGTCAAGACTTAATATTCAACAATTTCTCTACAAGGAGTGACTGAAGTAATACTGAGGAGTTATTGGATTGTTAGTAATTTTCTTTAGCACAGATATGCAATGTCAGAAAACAAACAGCATGAGGCTCATAGTCTACCTGGCTTAAGAATAATGCTTGTCATTTATGAAGTTAATTACTACATTGTTCTACTTTGTGGGAATGTGGTATTATCATCCCATATTTGGGAAATTCACATACATAAAGAAAATTATAGAGCTAAGTGTTAACAGAGGACTACTCTCAAGTGGAACAGTATATTATTTAAATCACTATATGTGATATGTATGAAGATACAAACGTTGATACCTTTTGAAAATTAAACATGATTTCCCTTAAAATATTTAAATCCCTAATAAGATTGTTAAATAAACATGTGAAACATAAATAAATATGTAGTTCTATCTTAATATAGTATTTTTGCAATATAACTCAAATACATTGTTTTGCAGCTATTTCAAAAACCCTTAGTGAAATGAACATAAGGACTCATTAATCACTACTGAGGGCTCTGCCCATAA